CTATAATCCCAGAACTTGAGAGGCCAACACAGGAGGATCACTACGAATTTGAGGCTGGCCTGGACTACACAGTGAGCTCAAGGCCAGCCTGCTACACAGCGAGAACCTGTCTCAAAAAGCCCAAACTACTTTTTCTTGAATTCATAATCATAGAACTTTAGAGCTACAAACAAATTTATGACCCTGTAAAACTTCTGAATAGCCCGTTTCATTTCACATTCATTTCTACAGATTTTTTTCCTCCTACTGAGCTCCTGAACAAATCCTAAATGACAGAGATCTTCCTTTTTGTTTTATGAGGGCCCTTTCACCAGCTATTTGCCCTACTTAGCATAATTCTGGTGATGGATGAGTGCAAATAACTCTCCTTTTCTGCTAGTTTCATTCAAATTACCTTCTTAATACTAAACCTATGCTTTCTCCCCATGCTCTGGGCCTCTGCTCTCTGATACAGCCCATGCATCTTTGGAGACTGCTGAATTCCCTTACTTCATTTACACTGCTATTTTGAAGGTATTAATAGATAATCACATCCCCCTTGGTGCTCCCTTTTCCTAAATTCAGCTCCTTCAGGCTTTTCTCTTAAATCTGAAACTACCATCAGTGTAGAATTATCTACGTATTTTCCTAAATGTTAGAAAGTATTCATATTATCTGGAGTACATTTTTTTTTTGGTACCGGGGATCAAATTCGGGTCCTTGCGCTTGCGCAGCAGGCGGCGAAACCACTGAGCTAAATCCCCAGCCCCTGGAGTACATTCTTAATAAGCGAACAGTAACAGTTCTGGTACTACCATAATTTTGCTATGTGACCACTAGGTTATCAATGACAGTTTACTGCAAGCTATGTAAAGCCTCTTTATACTTGATCTTTTCCAGGTAGCAGTTTCCTGGTTTGCATTAAGCGCATTTATTTCATCTCCCTTGGTGAAAGACTAGTTCAGCATTAATGAATATAATTACAATGCTGGAACTGCTGTGCTATTTTTTCCCCCAGTTGTTCCATAATGGTCCCCAAACCTACTAAACTTGTATAACCAAAAAAAATCCCAAATTAAATTTAACACATTCCTTCAATCTGTAGATTGAAAAGTACTTCAGATAGCTGCCAACAAAAAAGAAGGACATCTTGTTGCCTTTTTTCCCCCGTCAGACATTTAGCAACGTCTAAAATCAAGAAAATAATCCTGCTACTCTAGGATCTTACACTTGAAGGCAGATGATTCTTTAGTGATGATTCCACTTGCCCTATCCTTCCGTTGCCTTGGCCAGTATTCAAGTCAATCTGTATTCACCAGAATGTGCCTCAAACAGCATCCCAGTAAGGATTCAGCTCAGAATAAACAGTAGTGCGCACAGCCCTGTACTCAACCAGTAACTCAAAGGCAAGGACTAGGGAATAATGAACACAAACTCTACTTTAAAAGAAAGAACAATCAAGCATACTAGAAGAAAAGTTGTTTTGACTGTGATACTCAAATTACTTTGGCTTCCCTTCTCCCCTGGTTCAAGTAGGAAAAAAATCATTATATAATGACTAATGTATGACTTTTAAAATGCTGTATTTTTCTTTTTTTTTTTTTTTTGGTACTGGGGATCGAACTCAGGTCCTTGCACTTGCGCAGCAGGTGGGGAAACCACGGAGCTAAATTCCTGGCCCTTTTTTTTTTTAATGCTGTATTTTCTTTACTAATGACTAATTAACAATAGTATGTGCTGATACTACTGACAAGTATCTTGTGAAAATCCTTATTGTGCTATAAAAATTACTAGATTATTCCAGACTAAGATGGCATATAAAAAACCAACAAATTTAGAACTATTCCATTCCTGAAAATGCTGTTTTTCAAACTGAATTTCAAAGCCCATTAGTATTTTGTGAATCAAGTTAGGTGATTAGTCATATCACATGGTCTTCTTAAATTCAGCCACAGGGAGTAAGGATAGGTACTGCTTCAAACTTACATATACTGTATATCTAACATTATATACCAACATTAATCACAAACTCTACTCTTCTCTCTGGGTCACAAACAAAAAATCTGAAAGCCTTTTTTCTAAAGAGCTCTTGTATATCTGAAGTTATTTTAACATCATTAGGGGCCAGGGTACAGCTCAGCAGTACCATGCCTGCCTGGCAAGTGCAAGGTCCTGAGTTCGATCCCTGGGGCGGGGGGGGGGGTATAGATAAATCAACATCATTACATGTGAGCCAAATATTCTTTTTTACTAGGGCCTACTAACTGCATTTTAGATCCTGGAAAATTCTACCTTGGAATGTAATTATTTTAGGTTATTTTTAAATGAATAAGCAGCAAAGATGTGGCTGGTAACTACTGAAACTAGATGATAGGTATACAGAGGTTTGTTATATTATTTGCTCCATTCTTACACATTTGGAATTCTATCTAAAATGCAAAAGAAAAATTGTAACAAAATGAACCTAATTAACAGATAAAAAGGAATGAATAAGTTTATAAATGGAAACCTTTAAAGATACTGTTGCCAAAGAATATCAATCTAGGAACTTCCTTGGCCTTAATCAGGTAACACTAAGGTTGTCTTCTTTACCAATGATGGGTAGGTTCAGAGTCTAAAGTATTTAAGGGACAGGTGAAAATAAGTCATATAAAAAAACAAACTTCCTCAAAGGACATAAAATATAAATAGTTAAGTGTTTCATTCTTTCCATTAGCCATCCACTTTCAACCAACAGAACAAATGCAAAATATCTACCTACTTGGCAGGATTTTTCACTTCTTAATTGTTTTAATTCACACTGCAATTTTCCCAGCAAGTTTAATACTAGATCTCTATGTAACAGACAATGGTCTGCCTTCCTTGAAACTGCAAGTGTTGTCTGAAGTAAACATACAGGCAGATTTCAAAACAGTGTATAGTCTCAAAGTCAATTATTGTTATTTCCCAAAGTAAATTTTGTTTCTTTTTGGTTTTTTGTGGGGTTTTTTTGGTACTGGAGATCGAACTCAGGACCTTGCGCTTGCGAGGCAGGCAGCAGCACCACTCAGCTAAATCCCCAGCCCTTCCCAATGTAAGTTTAAAAAAAAAAAACCTTTAAAAACAGTATTATTTCTCTGGTTCCTTTCCCCATTGGAGACAGTGCCTCAGCTGTAAGGTCAACAAAAATGTAATTTTTAGAACTGGAAGGGAATTTTGACATCATCTAATGTATCCATTTTCAAATACTACCATCAGAAAGAAAAGAAGAATCTAGAGCATAACTTACATATGCAAATACATTCTTACCTATCTGTTTTTATGTATTGACTGCTTAGGTAACATCTTGCCTTCTTAGCAGTGTCAGAAAGGATTTGCCTTTTTGACATGTACATTTCATTCCTTTTAGAATGTATCAATTTGGATATGATTAAAACTATTGGTACAATTTGAGCCTTAATGTTTTCTAATAATAAAATCTTACATAATATATAGAACTCCCGACACTTTCACAGTAACTTCAAATCATCTCATTTATATTTCACTGTGTAGTCAATTTGAAGCAATACTTGGATTTAACAATTATAAAACAAAGCAAAGTGAGAGAGATATGCTTCTGGAAAACACCATAAAGCTCCAATAATTAACATTATTACATTATGTGTATTTAGGAAGAAAGCTACTCTTAAAACATTCTGTATTTCCAGAAATATAAAAGAATGTCATTTAGTATAAGAAATTAGACATTTATAGCTAAATGGATGCATATTGAGGCCATACTCTTAAGTGAAATAAATAGGACACACGTGTAAATACCCAGTAGTTTCTCTAGTGTGAGAAACTGAAAGTATAAATAAGGACTAAAAGGTATAAAAGAAAATGTGAAATAGAAAGAAAAGGAGCAAAGGGGAAGGGGAAGCGGGAGGGGTAGGGAAAAGGAAAGAAGGGAATGGAATTTTTTTTATTTTTATTTTTATTTTTTTTGGTACCGGGGATCGAACTCGGAACCTGGTGCTTGCAAGGCAGGTGCCGGAACCACTGAGCTAAATCCCCGGCCCAGAAGGGAATGGAATTAATATGAAAAAATGGAAACAAAGTCTTTGTAAATAGGGAGGGATTGGAGTGGTTGAAGGGAGGGCAGGGGAATGGGGAATGGGGAAAAAATAAGAACCAAGACAGATTATGTAAAGGTGCAAATTTCCAATGATGAATGTCATTATACTGTACACCTAAAATATACCAATAAAATTAATTTTTAAAAAAAGAATGTCATTTAGTACTTTTTTTTAAGAGCTGGGGACAAGGAGATGCGGGAGATTGAGTCCAGAGCCTTTACAATGAGCTACACCCTTATCCCTTTTTTATTTTAAAACAGGCCCAAGCTGGGCTTGAACTTGTGACCCTCAGCCTCCCAGAGTGCTAGAATTACAGGCACATCATCTCACAAGAAACCTAACACAAGATGTTTCTATCAAGCTAACCACATTGTTTTAAAGAACAGATAAGACTGTTTAATTTAAAAAAACATAAAAACAAAAACCCAGCAGGTATCTGAGGAACATTAATGTGTCTCCTTTAACTTTGTGCAAATAAATGTGAATACTTAAATTCTTTAAATACTAAGTAAACCTCATTTCCATACAGATAGACCAATTAAGAGTTCTGAGTGATCAGGTCAAAATAACCACAAATTAATTAGGTTTGATTAATAAACGTTTGTACATACACAAGAGCAAATGAAGTTAAACCTACTTTGAATGTTAGCTAACACATTAAACTGAAGTTAGGTATAAATTTTGATGCCTGCTCCTACACGGAATGAACTCTTTGAAGGCAGATACATTTCACTTGTGTTTACTCTTTCAAATTTAGACATCAATATCCACAGAGATGATGTTTTTACATTATCTTTTAAATTCAGTGACTTTATAGTTTCCTGTCTTCCCAAAGCTAATTCTTACCAACTAAAATTTCAATCTCTGTAGAAAAATCCACCAACAAGCTTAAAAATGCATTTATGTAAGATTCTTATAATTAAATACCATATTAGTGGCATCTGTATGTAAAATGATGTTTTGTTTAAAGAGGCATACTGAAGACCGAGCTAACTGTTTATAGGTGATTAAAAAAAATTGTTGAGGGGCCGGAGATTTAGCTCAGTGGTTTCGCCGCCTGCTGCACAAGTGCAAGGACCTGAGTTCGATCCCCAGTACCAAAAAAAAAAAAATTGTTGAGTCAGGATCTCGTTATGTAGTCCACGCTGGCCTTGAACTTGTGATCCTCCTGCCTCAGCCTCCCTAGTGATGCTGGGATTACAGGCATGCAATACCACACCCAGCTCTTGCACCAGTTTTAATTCTGATGTGTTCATTTCCTGTAGAGGTCCATGGTCTACATATTTATTCCTTTTGCCAGTTTGTTTCCAGACGTTCCTCAATGAAGATTCATTCCTCCTTCTCGATCCCTGCTTTTCTCCTTGTGCTACTGCAGCCTGTCTTCTCTTTCCCTTTCTCACAACTTCATCTCTATGTCTGAGCCTGTCCAGACTGTGTCCACTGTAAATATATAGTATTGAATAGAATGTATCAGAAAATTTTTCACAAAATTCACTTTTTCCAAAACCTCTTAGCATAACTTTATCCAGACTTTCACTGAACATTTGTAAGGTAGTCAGCATTTGGTTTTTCTACGTACGTCATTTTAATAGACTGGCACCTTAGTGCCTTCCCACATTGTCTGATGAAAAAAAACACCTTACCCAAGTCCAGCAATTTCAAAGTTTACATATGGGACATCTTACTTAAAACAATGTCCATCCACAGAGACAGAGCACAGTCTAGTCATATCTGGTCATCTTTGAAAACCTAGTTAAATAATTATTTTTATTTAAAAAACAAAATTAAAGACACTAGAAAATAGTTGCCTTTTATTAATGTCTACAGGTATGTTCCAAGAGAAAATGATTCACTGCAAAATGATAGGAGGAAAGAAGTGATCTATTCCAAAGTCTAATTTCTCATGAAGCTCTTCACAACTTATAGAAGATCAGTCCTGAAACGAATATCGATCTTAAGTTACGGCAAATAAATGAACTGTGGAGCACATTCCCTTTGTTTATTTTAATGTTAGTACATTTATAAGTTAAACTGTTTCTGCCAACCCAAAACAGAAAATAAAAACTTCTATACTTCCAATTTGGACCCAGTAACCTTGTAAAACAAACCTAGGGAAAAGGTCTCCATGTAGAAATGTGCCCTTTCCTCTGGTGGACAGGATCTATTGTATCACTGGTGATACTTCAGACCGAAGGCCCATGATCTCTTTAAGAAAGGCTTCATTCCAAAGCAAACTACTTCTGGGCAAATCATATTTGGCTTAATTATGTTAAAATTTGTTGCCTGACATTTGGCATATCCGTGCCATGGCTACCACAGATATGGTTTTGGTTCGCACAAACAAGAGATGCCATCAACAGCAAAGTTCTAAATTTGACAGAAAACAAAAAGACTGACGACTAATCTAATGCAGATACTGGCATTGTTACAAAGCAATGTTCACAACTATCTAGAATCACCCAAGCAAAACGTTTTTTTCAAATTTAGCTCAATAGTCAAGTTTGCTTGATTCCTCATTGTCTCCACTAGTGTTAATTATCCAATTTGATATTTTCAAAACGAACATTTTTACAGTTCATATTCATTCATCTAGTGACCATCTATAACTCTCCCACTACGTGCCAGGTACTACATTCTGTTTTCTTATTGTAACAAAGGAATTCTGTGAAAAGGTGATGGCTGGCCCATATGTAAAGATACTTTGTTTGGGGAAGTGTGGATGAAATCTCTCAACCAGATGGAAATATGAACTTCCTCACCAGGATTTCCAACTGCTGGTCACTTTTCTTAAAGTATATAAATAGCAAAGGCACAATCCCTGTGTGGGGTCTTCAAATGGCCCATTTACTTTGACTCAAAAAGACAGAAGCATTAAAATGTGTTCAATTGGGCCAGGGATTTAGCTCAGCGGCACCGCACCTGCCCCGCAGGCACAAGGTCCTGAGTTTGATCCCTGGTACCAAAAAAAAAAGCGCTCAATATATACATGAAGAAAATAATGCTGCTTTTTGTTTTGGTACCAGGGATCGAACTCGGGTCCTTGGGCTTGCGAGGCAGGTGGCGGAATCACTGAGCTAAATCCCCGGCCCTATGCCAGCTAATTCTACGTAGCCATTAGCTCATTTAATCTTCACACTACCCCTAGGAGACTGACATCCTACAATCCCACTTTACAGATGAAACTGAAGCTTATCTTATTCAAGATCACTCAGATATAGAGCTGGAACTCAAACCCAGTTCTACCAGTGTCCAAAGCCTGTGCTGCTTTTCTTCCTTTATTACTGTATGATAAACCTGTGCTCTGGATCACATTGCATTGTTCAGTGGCACTCACTGGATTTTAGTATGAAGTTTTTGAATGACTTACAAATTTCTTCCTTAAAATGAGTCCTTTTTTTTCATATTTGAACCTACAGCCTTGGACATGTTAGGCAAGCACTCTACCACCGTGCAACATCACCAGACTTTGTTTTGGAGACAAGGTCTTACTATATTACCCAGTCAGTCTAGATCTTGTGATCCTCCTGACTCAGCCTCCTTCCCAAGTAGCTGGAACCCCAGGCATACCACACCGCCAAGCTAGATGAACCAACACCCCCACACACATTTCTGAGGACTGAAGCAAGGACATTCACACTGAGCTATAGCCCCACCCTTTCTTATTTTGAGACAGGGTCTCACTAAATTGCCCAGATTGGGCTCAAACTTGTTATCCTCCTGCCTAGGCCTTCAGAGCACTAGGATTAAAGGCATATGTAACCATCCCTGGACAAATAAACACTATTTTTTGATCATACACACAAAAACTAACAAGGATTTTACTTGAAACTGTGGTCTTACAAGTATAAATATTTGGCTGGGAAACAAAATCTATCTGAATGAAAGCCTCGAATCTCTGTGGTGATGGGATTACCATTAGACTCATTAGAGAGTGGAAGACATGTCACTCAGTCCAAATTCTTCTTCTTAGGAATAATAGAGGCCTTCTGAAAAACATCGATGCTACTATAAACATCTAAAGAACCACACTCTCAAATCCAGAAATACTTTTCTTTCAAAGCATCATTTCAATAGATAATCTAACCTTTCTAGCATTTCAACATCATAAAGTATGGTATCCCTTTCTAAAATACTTTAACAAAAACTTTATAACATGAAGTCAGACTACTGCAGAGCTATTAACAACTGAAGCTTGAATATTTTCATAGGATATGCTATTGAAAGCAATAAAATGGCACCCTTAACTATATAAACTCAAACTCAAAAAATAACCATTTCTTCCTTGAATGCAATTTACATTCGTCTGGGTCAACAACAGGCTGAGCTTCACTTTCCTGGTCACATTATGTGACTGAATTCAAGCTCATTTCAAGGGAAAGGCTGTCCTCTGCTGTATTTAGAACACGTATCATTAGGAGCAGCCAGATGAGTCTTCATAGGCCTATCCAAAAACCTTGCTTTAGCTGCTAAGAAACTACAATTTCACCATATTATAAATCACTGGAAAGAAACTATGCCATCTGACATTTAACATGTAAAACCAAGGATCGTCCACCTATTGTGCAAAATGAAACCATGCTATTTCCATAAACCAAACAGTTGAAATCAAAACTAAGCTTAACTCATGTTAAGACAGACGGAAAACTGGTAAGACAAATCAGGCTAACTCTACTCTGCCTTCCACAATGACTTCTCACTTGAGAGGGAAAAGAAAGAAAACCAATATAGTTACCACACTCAATACAAGAGACAAAAATGTTTTCTTCCTGACTCCTGAATCCAAGGACATGAAGTATATATGAGATTTGAATAGTACAATTTGGTACAATACATTTAACCAACCATGTTTTTTCAACCCTGTGATAGATTTTTTTTACAGTAACGTTCAGCAAGTTAAGCCCAGTTTCTCCATACAACACTCAATTCCACTAGCTCTATCAGATTTTTCCATTAAAATCATGTAAATTTCAGTCCTTTTTAAAGAGTAATTGTTAATGTTCTAGCAAAACAATGAAGAAACAATGAAATTTTAAAATAATTTGTAGTTCATTCTCCTGCACTAACTCTCCATAATTTTTTCATATAAAAATATACTTAAACCTCTTAGTAGCTGTTTCCACAAGAGCAAACAGGTTCACATTCAGCAGCTAAGCGGAGACACCTGCCTTCAATCAGAATGTTTTGGCTAGATTCCCCCATACCTGACTTCCCAGCATTTCTGCACCTTCTCTAGGACAGTTCAAAATTCAATTCCCTCATTTCCACTGTACCTTCCACACATCCCAAAGGCCACTTTTATCTTCCTCAAAAATAACATCTTTTCAGTCTTGAAACTTTCAGATCTCAAAATCCACTTCCTCCGTCTCCCTCCCGCCACTAACTGCCCTCAATCCCATCACTGCAGTTGCAGCTGTGTCCCGGCCTTCCCCTCCACACTGCAAAACAACGTGACACCCCCAGCTTCCTGCATTTTACTCTTTTCCCTTATTTTTCGTCCACTCACCCCCACCTTTATAGCTAGACACCCTTACTTCTTCCCCCGCCTCAGTTTCAACCCTTTCTCCCCATCCTCTGCTCATTTTCCTCTCCTTATTTAGAAACTCCTTTCCACTCTCCCAACCGCTACCCTCGGACGCCCAGCACTCCAACCTCTTCGGCAAACCTAGCCTCTTCTCCCAGCTCCAGTGGAGAGACTGCTGCTTCTTTCCAGGTCTCCTACAGCAATCAACCCACCTCCCTCACCCTCCAGCCCACCTTTCCTCCACCTCCAGAGCCGAGGTTCCCGATCCTCTACCCCTCCCCGGGGCTCTAGTACTCAGCTTACCCTTAAGGCCTCCCCCCTCTCCTCCATTTCTCCCTTATTTTTAAAGATCCCCATAGGATCCCAGCAGATGCCAGCGACCGGGAGCCTCGACCTCGGGGAGATTGGCCGACACCCCCTCCGTCGCCTAGCACACAGACGCCAGTCCCTTGCCACCTCCGGGAGGCGCTGCGCCCTCTCGTCGCCCACCCCCGCTACTCCACTCCTCGCACCAGCTTCCTCGGGCGCTCAAGCCGCTCCAGTCCCCATCAGTGCAGGTCGCGCCG